CCACCTGTCACCCTGAGTTGGTTGTAATGCAGTTCAACTAGGGTAATGCTAAGGACCACCTGCTTAGAAGGCCTTCAGATGCTCACATCTATAGCGTCTTATTTTGAACCATTCAAGCGTCCATGATACCCTCTCCTTATGCTATCGCGTTCCATGCTTGCGGCACGAACTTTCTCAGAAAGAATGTTATCAATCTGGAAGACCCGGAGGCAGACCTCAGGCGAAAAACTAAATGATATGTATCGATTAGCTTCACCCACGTGGCGAATTGAAAGGGGTGGTAGGGGTCACTCGGTACGTATCTTTTTTTTTGCGATTTCTCAGGTACTCTACACTCTGCCTTTTCTTCCTATCGCAGATTCTTCGTTTTTTTAGTTCAGCGATTTCTCTGAATCTTCAAATTGGCTGACTGCGAACACGGCCCAGGGCCATATCTCGTTGTCAGTCACCTTATCTCCCACCGAGTAGTTGATAAAATTCTTCACAGGGTTAACTCCTATCGGACGGAAGCCTGAGATTGGCCCTCGTGACATTATTTATTCCCTGTGAGCGTGATTTTAACTGGGGCGCATTGAAGTTTGCACAAATGGCTAGCTTAGTCATCATGCGACCATCATGCGACCGAATCGCGTCACAATCCTGATTGGTTACTCATCAACAAGTGATTTGTAGAGTTAGTTTTCTTTTTTGCCCTTGACAAAGTATTTCTGTATTGTACCAAGGCAAGGGTTGCGTTTTTGCATTTGTAAAATCGTGGGAAGTTCAGTGATGTATAGAGGTATGGCGGGGGGGGGGGCATTTTGCACTTTCGCAACTTTCCAGCGATGTGTCGACCTATCCAGAGAGTATTCGCAGGCTACCATGGTGCTCGACGAATTTGCTTCAGCTTTAAGAGTTTACAGGTCTTACTGGAGTGAAACTTGTGAATCTGTACTAGTGGAGCAGCTAGAACCCGAATCGCCCCCTCCCCTCCTCACGTCGCCGAACTGCGCCATAACAGCATTCAAAACAGTAAAAGTAAGAAATGATTTGTGCGAAGATTGTTCAGGTTAAACAGTGGAAGCGTCTCAGCTTCAGTGGGGTTGTAACATGCAGCCGCTGTAGACTCCTATAATAATTGCCCATTACCTTGTTGCACTTTTTTCACCACACTTAGTATGATGGATGTTTATCGTCGGGACCTTATGCTCTGTAATTGACTTCGTTTTCTTCGTTGATTTGACAACAAAGCACTTTCTTGTTTTTCATCACTGCTGAAGCTTCTCCTTATCTTATTATCTGATGTCATTGCGAAATGCTTTATCGTTAACATTTCAAATGCTTCGGTGAAAATTCTCTTATCTGTGTGATCCCATCTGTGCAGACTTCTGTTTAAAGACAATTCCCGCGATCAGGTGTTGCGTGTGTGTATTGGGTGCTCAATCATGAACCAGTGCCCAGTATGTGTCTCTCCAGTAGAGAGAGGGAAGCGATAAAAACCTTTGGAAACCCTGAACAGAGACCTCCCTCAGCAAGGGGGCGGCGCCGTGGACGAGTTCATCGTGAGGACAAACCCAATCAGCAGTCCACTTGCAACCGATTCCCTGTAAGAGCACATGAAATCGCCCTACGACGCTCCAGGCAACGCTATGTACACGCGCAATTTCACTGTAAGCCGTTGTCTTGCAGAGTGAAAGTAATCGTGGTTGCAATGGTTGGGCGCAGTTCAGCGACGGAGGGGCATTCAGCACTTTTCTTCTTCCCATCGACGTGTCGACCTATCTAGACAGCCTTTTTCGAGTTGACAGGTTTTACCATGATGGCTTGACGACCTTGCTCCAGCTTCACAAGAGTTCACAGGTTTCACCAGAGTGAGACTTGTAAACCGGAACTAGTGAAGCAACGAAAGTGCAAAATGCCCCCCTCCCTCCCAGCCGCCGAACTGCGCCCAATGGTTGCAATGATCACGCGCCTCTATTCTCTTTATGTCGCCGCTTCGAGTGACGGAAAGTGTTACATTCTTGCGAATGCGGATTACGATGCCAAATGGACGGAGGCATTTCGCGGACCACTTGATCGCGGGAACTGTCTTTAAGACTATAGTTGAAGTAGTGTCGGTAACTGGACTCACCTGTAATGATCCTTTAAAGCGAACATGCTACAATGCGGACCATTTCAGATTATTTATTTCATCCCGCTGTTTAAATTATTGTATGGTGTTGCATAATGTTAGGCACATCGCCACGGCTGCGGGAGCCAACTGTGGTGCATCCAGACGAGCAGATATGGAATGGTGTTCTGTTGGAACTAGACGATGAGGAACTCTCTGTAAGCTACTAGCTGATGATTCTCTTCGAACTGGCTTCAATAATCGCTTTTCAAGAGTGATCTTATGCGAATGGCTGCTGTGAGTACAACAACGCAACGAAATGATACGTTTATACCCCTCAGTTGCTCTGCTCATGGTCCTTGCCGTTTGGAAGAGCAGAAAGCCTTAAGTGGGAGACTCCTATGTCAGACCAGCGGAGAGAAGGGCAACTGGTCGATGTCAGCACGGTCGATACGGTACGGGTATTCGTTGTAAATGGTATTCCCTTATATACTTTGCAGGCTTATGTCTGTTTCACAGGTCATTTATAGCGAATATTCCCTGTTCAGAAATTCTGATTACCATCCCTCATCTGTGTGGCTTTGGTTGAGCTTCTGGGGTGTAGGCTTTGGTAAATGTTGACGACCGCGTGATTCATATGCGCACCACGCTTAGTAGACCACTTGCGACCTCGTAAGTAGTAGTGTATGAACTCTCACCAGACCCATGTTCTTCACAAATGCATGTTTTTTGTGGATTTATATATTTATTCTACAGTTCGTTACTCATTCTATCCGTAGTATATGTGGTCAACAGGGCAGATCAAATACTGAAGTTTACCGAATGTTTTCTTTGTTCCATAGGTACTGTGTAAATCACAACTCCTGGAGGCAAGTTACCAGCAGAAGAGAAGAGTTTTCCTATTTTTCGAGGGGACATTCTGGGGGAAGTTAGGATAACTAAGAGAAATTTGGGGCAGTGATGTGTAAGAGTGCCCTAGTTTTCACTGAAACTTCGAAAGAAGAGTAAACAGTGCCAGGGATATTCTACAGGGGTCGTTATTCGGTGACCTTTTCTGAATAATTCTTTTTACATAGACAGGTTTACATTCCTACAGCTCTTGAAGGAATGTTTCGCTATTCGAATTCTGAAAAAGGTCCTCGTGAAACCGCTTAATTCGTTTGCGCATCACGCCTGTCGCGTTCGAAAAAGCATGCACGCTCCAACGCGGCTGAAAAAGTCAAAACGCGCACGGTCGTCGTTAGGAGCCGCATTGAGATAAGTGGCAATGTAATGTAATGGTGATGTATTCTGCCTGGATCCATGGGGCGGTGTTGTTTTTCATGAGCAAGCTGGTGATAAGGTTTTATCGCTTCGACATCACCATTCCTTAGAACGCGTTTAGACTTCGCGATCTAGTCGAGCGATCGCGACCAGGAGTGCTACACTGCTAATCGGAGAGCCGTCGTAATGAATACAAAAGTATACGATTCGAAGCGAAAAATAGCAAAACACAACCCTTTAGGAAGCAACATACTTCGCAGAACGTTTCAGTAAAGGCAATTCATGCGTGCACAGAAGGATAGAAGAAAAACGGAGCAGTGCATGAACGCGACCCGTTTGAAGGATGTCGTTACGGCGGTTCACCGATTGGCGGTGGAGCGCCACCGGGAATAGGAAAGAGCGCTTTAGACTTCGCGGTCGCGCGATCCGTCGAGCAATCCGATCGCGATCGCAAAGTCTAAACGCGCTGTTACCTATTCTTTTGCGCGGTATAGGACTTCCAAGTACAGTACTTTCCAGTAGTGAAGCATAGACTAATGAGGATAGAGTAGTGGGGTGGAAGAGCGGATTCATTCCTCCCTTTGATCAAAATCACTGCGTTGAATTGCATGCAAATCGCAATTATAATTACATGGTAATCAACGCGACATGTAAATGTTCTCACGAGAAATTGCTCACTCTCTTGAGCTTAGTATTGAATCAGGGAACAATGACTTCGTGATCTTCTTACCGTCTATAAAGCTTGTTCAGGAATGGCAGGTATTCTCCAGACGAATCGTCAATTGCATTGCTTGAATATCCCGGCACAGGCTTCAGATTCGATCTTATTCATCCTGAATTGGAATGTTCAAAAACTCAGGTATCCGTGTGATATTCCGGTATTTAATTAATTTTATATGATCTTGCACAAGTGTGCCTTTCTAGATCCGACCTGGAACTCTGCTGAAACCTCTTTCTGAACTTGACGATCCACGGATCGTGGACTTTCTGAGAAGGCAGCATGATGAGTCTCGACGTAAGGACGCTCTTCTAGCTCGTGATGTGCTGAACCCTTGTGTCTACGCAGTCGTTCCGAAGACTAATGTGATGCGATTGACTGACGACCAAGCAATGTATGCCTTAGGACTTACTTCTATCACTATTGCTCGACTGCATTTGATTGCTTGGATGTTGTTGAGATGCACAACATTCAGGCTACTTCTTGCCATCGAGTGCGAACAACGGGTGCCTCTATACAAAGATTTTGAGAGATTCGACTTCCTAAGCAGTTTGCGGGAGGGAGATGCTGTTTTTGTCCAGGTATTGATTTTTCTTGTTTCTTCAGAAAATTTGAGCGCGCACAAATTGCAGTTTTATTTGAGAATGAATTGAGTACGAATCCACCGTCTCATCCAGCTGTCTGGTTGACTTGTCCCTGCGATGATGAGATTTCTTCTTTGTTTTCAAGAAAATCGCCCATCGAGAACAGGCTCATTTTCCCAAAAACTTTTCCTTTCGAACTCACCGGGAATTTCGAATGTCACAGTAGAAAATGTCCTGGTTGGGGTTCGATTTGTGTAGAATTCCATCAGGAGGGCTCTACTTGGCCGCTACACCCTAACGTGTAGAGGTCGTAGCGGAGAACACCGTATTCAAGGTAGTACTGACACATCTCAATGATGTCTTGAATATAAATATGATCGCCATGTGGTTTAAACCCAATCTCACAATGTTAGGTCCAGTTCGACCTCTCGGCGTACGCGACATCATCGCTGATCTTCGACCATGTACCCGCGAGGGACTAGCTCCTCTTTTAGAACCGATAGAACTGATGCAGTTACTATAATCTGAATTGTCTACACTATGGCTAAGGAAAATGTGATTTCTATTGATATGTTCTAGCCAACTGCTTCAATTGCTCTACATTAAGTACTGGGCCCTTCCGAACCTTTGGGTCTAATCGATTCGCACGGGAAAGGACTCCTCGATAGGATTTTCTCTCGCTGCTGTACCTGGCTATCCCTTTCACACTTTTACGTCCTCATCTCTTCGCTATCGTGTCACCAGGCTGTCATCCTCCCGCAGCTGCCAAGTCGTTATCCTCGCACATGCGAGCAATCAGGGTCCGGAGGTGACTGTAAATAACGTTTCAAGAGTCAAGAAAGGGATCTTACTAGGGAAGGTCGTCAGGTGCCATTTGTGATGAGATGTAGCTCACTAGACGTGGTTTTGGACGCTGATCTCGAATCTGCCTTTGAAATTTGCAGAACGATTCTCTGAACGGAGTTATGGAGCTTTTTCCACCGCGTTTACCACGCAACAGGTCGTGGGATCGGATCCCTGCTGAGCTTAACTTTTTTGCTTCTTGTGCAAACGTGGCAAAAAGTGGTTGTAGCGTCACTACTACATTAGCGCTCTCCTTGACTTGCCTGAAAAACAGTTTGTGTTCGCTTACTGGCGCGCTTAGTGCCTTATGATCTAGGAGATGTACAGGTGCCCTTGGCGCGGAGTGCAGGCGTTTTCGCGCTGAGCGAGTGCCATGTTCGAGTTTATCGGGGCGAACTCCGCCTAGGTAGAGGTTTCTAGCCAAATCTGGCATTTTGACCTGACTTCGAAAGAAAGTGAAGCATCCATGGTTAGTTCAATTGATGCTAACACCTATTCAGCTGCGGATACATTTATTACTGCTTCAGTTTTCTTGGTATCTAAAAGCAAATTCTGTCCAAAGACAAGCAATCGACAAGAGACTGGCCCTGGAACTATTGGTGACCATCATTCGATCAACTGCTACCGCACTTTTCAAAGTTAGGTCAAAACCTCACATCTGGCTAGAAACCTGTCCCCAAGGGTAGTTTTGCTCCCTGAACACGAATATGGCACCCATTTGGCGTTTGAGTGTTTTCTAGACTCAAAAGAGACATTCCCCACAAAATGCAAAACAAGTTCCCTTCCAGAAATCCGAACCCTTCATAGCATGCCCGCGAAGCAAGACCATTACCACTACACCATGCCGCCGTTGATCGTAGAGGTGCTTCCCGGCTATTCATGCGAATTTGCCGGCACCGCGCTCGACTAACAAACCTTCATAATTCCTTTCAGAGAATCGTTCTGCAAATTTCGAAGGCAGATTCGAGATCAGCGTCCAAAACCACGTCTAGTGAGCTACATCTCATTACAAATGGCCACTTCGACCTGACGACCTTCCCTAGTTAGACATTTGCTGCTTGACAAAAACGCGAGCATAGCGACCAGCTTCATGAACCGTAAGTAATAGCTGTAAGCCCTTCCATAGGCTAGAAAACAAAGCATCCTGGTATTAAAAAAGGCAGAGGATTGACCCATAATCTTATTATTTACTACTCAGTAAAGGTACTGAGTATACAGGGGGGGGGGGGCAAAAAAAGTCACTTCGACCGAGTCACATATCAGCAAAGTTTTCGCAGCCCAGACAGAGGACGTGGATACGAGTACCAGGGCGGAAGATACCCAAGATGTTCCTCGATAAGCAGGAGCTGGCTCTCGCCCATCACCTTCATGTACACCAAAATATGAAGTCATCTCCAGTCGCAGCCTGACTGGAGAAGACCTTTGGAATTCATGTCACCTCCAAACAGCTGCGAAACTTCTAGTATGGAGTCACCCATGGCTGGAGACCAGTACTCTCGATCTGGAAGACCTCCAACATCGAGCAGCTCCGACAACGTCGCCACGGTCTAGGACATCATCTTCACCGCAGTCGCCAAGGCGCGGGTTGATGGTATGGACCGGACGTACCTGGAATGGAAAGACCAATATTTTCTTCGTGGACCCGGACTGAAGGTGAGCGCTGGCGGTTACATCGAGCAACTCGAGAAGAATATCCTCCTCACATGTCGTCGCCCCTCCTTGGAAACTTTGTACTGCTACAGCATTGGGTGCCACCACATGGAATCGGTTGGAGAAACTCTCGCCTACTTGGAATGGAAGGGGCTGAGTACCTGAAAGAAGATGGAATCCAAGTAGGTCACCTGACCTAAACCCCTCAATTACCCGGTTCGGGCGGAGTTCAATAGGGTGGTCTACGGTGGCGGAGAAATCGACTTTCAATAGGGTGGTCTACGGTGGCGGAGAAATCGACTATCTCGCTGATCTCAGGCACCACATCGCGGTCGCGTGCCAGAATCTCTCGATGGCGCTCGTCCAGAAGGCTGTGGCGGAGTGTCATGATAGTATTTAATATGCTCTTTAATATGGTGGTAGAAATGTCCGATCAGAATTTATAAAGTGTAACTTATAGCGCCTCGAAAGTCAATGAAGGAAAGTGACTTTTTTTGCCCCCCCCCCCCTGTATGTTGGTTGGTTTACTCACCGCCCAGTTTGATCTCAAGTATTTGTGAACTGAATTGCAAGCTGAGGAAGAACAACTGCATTAGCTTGAACGCGCTTCATCAAGGGGTAGTGTGGCTTGAGTATAAGAGAAGTATCGATCACTGCCCGCGTGCGAGTTCTTAATCATCAGCGATCATCATATTTCTCAGCTGTACAGTATAGTGGCAGGTTTCGGAGGAACGGAGTGGTTGAGCTGCTTCCACTCGTTTTTTGCCTCATCATCGGAATGGATAGTGGTTAGAATTCTTTACTGGCGCCGTTGCGCGGGCCACACCCACATTCCATGAGTTGTTTTTGCTGTAAACCAGTGGCGAGGTGAAGAATGATTCACGTTGCGCCCTTCATTCACCATTTGACTGTCGGCTGTCGAGAGAGAGTGCCGTCGCAGTACTTTGTCTGGAAAATGCACGGTCACACGACTGTTATCATCTTCTTAGAGTATTCTGGTTTTTCTTTTTCGATTCGATTTCGATTCCTGAACATTGATTGGTTTCTTTCGTAGAACTGAGCATTCTATTCCGGCAGCTCATTAGTTTTTAAATCTTGATAGATTACAGTAAAAGCACTAGTCTATGAGTACTTTTTGAAGGATTCTAACAAGATGTACAGCGGTCGTATAAGCAGAGTGGGTGAACGGCCGTATTGCTATGGTACGTGGTACAATATCGAGATACCGGTGAGTTGGAAATTTGCGCTGGATTTTGCTTCGCACATTTTCGGATTTCTCTGAAGTTTTTCCTTTTTCTTCTTGAACCAATATTCATATTACCCATAGTTTCATCCATTTCATGAGAAATTACATTGGGAAGTTTCTGCGCAACTTTTATACTTTCATATCAATTCCTGAATAAGCATGTTCAGCTCTTGGAAATGTGTTTGTAGAAAATAGGTTATGGTACATGTTGGTATGTGGGGTACATTGCGGTCTGACTCATAACTCATTCTGCATTTTGAGGGCGGAAGAAATCGGATGAGGTTTGATCGGATTAGGCCATTTTAACCGCTGCGATTAGCGACACACGTGTGTACCGTGCTTTGATCGATGCTCTGAATTACAAAGGGTCATTGAAAATGTGGTATATTCGGTAGAGAGGACAAGCGAGTTTTGCGATGTGTGCTTTATCCCAGATCCCAGCAGAAAAGTTGCGAGAAAACTTCTTCTTTCAAGATTATTAAGAATTTTGCACTCCGGTGATCCCCATGCTAGCTAGGCCTTCCGTCTCTGCTCGGACAATCAGCTGGAACTTGGAACCAACTTTTTGTGGAGGGATATCGACTTTGGCTAGAATACTGGATAGGCATTGTGAACGGTTTCATAAAGATACACAATTTGGACGCTTTTGCTATTTCAAGCGGAACTTGATTGCGTAGCTAATCCCGAAAGGTGACCATTGCCAATCGTTTTGTTCGCTATCATTTTTGCAGCAAGGGCACATCATGGTAGCGTCAATACGATCCCCCTCCTCTAATTCTGTTTCTCGATACGACCTCTTTCGCGACACCCTCGCTCTAACCAATTTTTCCCAAATTTACCATCAAGCAGGGGTATCAGAGTACGGCGTTGGGATCTCCAGCGAAGGGACTTGTATTCGGTAGGGAAGGGGGTCGTGCGTCTTCGAAACGAGTGTTTTTATTTATTGGCTTTTCTCTTTTTCTCCCCGTTTCAATTGTTACATCCACGCTCACGCCGCCCCTTTCGCTTGAGGACACTATTTCGGGGAGAAGTGGTTTTTTTAGGAAAGGATGTTGGGCAAAATGTAGCGTGATTGTAGGTAGCATGCAAACAAATGCAATGCAGTGGGGCAAGGAAGATTTTTCAAGAAGGAAATTTGAAGGGGGTAGTCTGTATCGAAGAATTTTTCCCCATTGCACTGGCGAGACGTGCCCTGGGTGGTACATAATGCGTCCAAAACAGGGAAAAATCAACATACAAAAAATATCGAGGCAAAGTACGACCTCCCTCCCTCCGCTGCCGTCGAATACGGCCCCAGTTGTTCCTTTCAAAACGACGATGTGGCGTGTTCGCAGTGCCTCATATACGAGCTCTGAAGCTAGCGTTCATCACATCTACTGGTACCTTCATTGAAGTGATCGTACACGACAAAATCTCCATATTTGGAAAGCGGGGAAGCCGTTTGGAAGTTTCATAATCGGAGTATTATGTTAATTGTTACTACACATTCAGATTTCATAATATAATATTGCTGACTTCTGTTTGTATAGTCAGCCAATGAATAATGCAAGAGATGCGAAAGACCGTTTTTCTTCCTTTAGTAAGGATTGGATACGTGTTGAAGGAGGCATTTGAGCATGAATTCAATGTTTTTGTCGTGATGGCGTTTGACGTTTGAAACATAACATCTTATCGATTTTATTTTGCGCAGTCGTGAAACCAGTTCTGATTTGCCCTACTTGTCCCTTTCACCAGTAGCGACGCTTGACCAACGTAAGATAGAATCGCGGGCATAATCATTATGTGGTATGCGAATGTCGCTGCCACTCATTATTCGAATCGGCTCTAATAATTCAGAGTTTATTAGGTTTTGCGCTTCATTCTTTGAGTTAGCATAGGCAGCAAGAACTTAACTGTGAATCGATTTCGATATTATATCTTGAAATGTTCGCTACTATCAAACCCAGAACCGGTGAACTGCATTTATCAGTTGAGTTCTCCAGTTCTCCAGGAACTCTACCAGGTTTTCTGATGATAATAGAAGAGGAAAAACCGGTAATAGGTGAACAAAGGGACGTATGAGAAGATGTTATTTTTTTATTATTGGCAGAATCGCTGCAGAACTGATCAGGGGGTCGTATTTGTTTGCTGTGAGAAGGGATCGTAATCGTCGGATAATAAGGATAATTTCCCAATTGTTGTTTGTTTTCTCCCGATTCACTTATGCACCCACCATTCCCAGGCTGTGGAAAGGGATGCGGGTGATCGTACCGGGAGGAAGATTTCTGTAGGACCATACTGACACCGCTATTTGACTTATCCCGATCAGGGCACGTCTTGCGTTGGGTAATCCTCAGCGGGGGGTGGTGGTCGTATTAGGTCTGAGAAAATTTTTGATAGTTTATTTTACAGTTTCACAGGCATTATTCTTATCCTTGGGAAAATTCCAGTCGGGGGGGGGGGGAGACATTTGCTTTTCATTGGGAGAGGGGGGGGGGTCGTACTTACCTTTGAGAGAAATTTGCCGCGTCACAGAAAGAAATTTCCGATTGTTGACTTCTCGCGCTTTACCCATCAGACGGCAAAATTTCAGGGAGTACAGGAAAAGTGAAGAATTTTCGGGAAATTTCGATTAAAGTGGTGGAAAGTTTCAAAAGTAGGCAAAATTAATAGGTAGGGTGAGGAAAAGAAGGATCGTAGCAGTGAGCAGGGACGAAATTGGGGGGTCGTATTTTCCGGGAAGTTTTCCCGGTGACAGGATGTACCCTGATCCTGATGCTATACCCTGTTTCCCTCCCATACAGGTGGGAATTTAAAATTAGCTTCAATTTAATTCAGCTTTAGCCGGTTTAGAGTCGTTTTTGTTGAGGTTAGATCGATTGATTCCACATAATACGAAAAGGGAATACCCTATGTGATCATTTGAGTCGCTGAAGTTCAAGCAGACGGCTGCACGGGACCGGAATGGGCTGGAGACTTTGGCGATACAACTAGTTTCTACGTGAGCCGTAATGATGGTACTCAATGAGGCTTCAGATCGCATTAATTCCGACTCACCGGTGTTCTTGGTAGTATGTTCGTTATTCTTTAGGCTCTTCCCATATGATTTATCAGAACTTGAATGCTGCGAATCAAAACTCAAATCAAATTGAATCAAAACTGCTTTATATTTTCCAGCATATTGATTTTTGATATCGAAACGGGCGTTATCTTTTTCAGTGATTAGTCGGTTGTAGTCATGATAGTCAGGCCGGTCACCACTTTCAGAAGAGATATCGATGAGCCGGCATATCCTGTTATGTCGCGCGAAGTTTGAGTGCGTCACGCGAGACTAGTATCTGGTTTTTCCAACAGCCACTAGCAATAGTCGCGAATAGCAGCAGGCAGTCGCCCCCTCCAAACCTCGTCACCTTTTGTTTCCCACGAGTCTCTCTCGTGATACATCAAATCAGCGCATTTGCCATGTTACTGCAATAGAGTTGCACTAGCTGGTGGTGCGTGCTGATCGCCGTTTTGTCACGCTAGCTTATCCCTACTCCACATTTGTTGACTGGAATGTGACTAATGGGCCGTCACCTCATTCCGTCCCATTTGAAAGCAGCTGTGCACAATTTTGCTTAACCTGGAATTTTAAACCCCAGTGCTCTTTGGCCGGACAATACATTCATCATTTCTTGGTGTAGTTTGCGATGGTTTTTTTTGTTACTCTCAACTTATCACAAGAATGTGACAACAACAACATACGAAGGTTGTTCATTGTAATTCCGGTACAGGTATGAAGAAAAAGGCAGAAAATTCTGGAAAAAAAATTCATTTTCCAATGAAGTCCCTCTAAACTCAATACACTTGTTTGTTCGGGGAACTGACCTTTCATTATCTCCCAAAAATATTTTTCCTTCTTGTCCCCAAAATCTGCGTTAATTGCCGCCTTCAGCTCTTCATTGTCAGAAAAACGCTTTCCACGAAAATCTGTCTGTAGGTTGACATCTTTCTGTAGGTTGAGGGACAGGAAGTAATCTCTGATCATTTTCTCAATTTTCTTCACTCTCTCTCATTCTTTAAATCAGTAGTTTTTCTCTCAGCATTGTCACATCAGTAATTCTGGTCTCCTTTCATAAAGGATAACTAGACTTGCATTAGTGATAAGTAACTAAAATTCTGTATTTTCACCCTCAGGGAGTGTCGTTACCTATTGAAATGATTAAAATTCCTTCGTCACTGCTAAATTACTCGATTCCGAGAACAGTTTGAACGGCCCTCGTATGTGGCCCTGCTATGGATCGCAGCAATTCCCAACGATCGATACTTTTGTTCTGATGGCTTATTTGAACACCTGCATCACTTGCATGCGGAGGTTCGTCATATGGATACAATCTCCTGAGTGGAGTCATTTGGCGCAATGCTGTGGTCTGAGTAGTTGTGTCCAACTGCTGCGCAAGCGCAAGCGGGTTTTTGATGGAAAAAATATTCTGCTAAAAGTCATCTAATCAGTTTTATTTTTTCCTCTTCTCTTTTTTCTGCCTGTTTCCTTATATTTTCGAGGCTGCGCTCAAAAAAACAAAGCGAATGATCGTCTGGTATGCGGCTAGAATTATTCGAATTCTCTTGTTACACACGATTTCTTTCTCTCTCGCTTTACGAGCCTCGAAAACGATTCCTTGAGTTGTCTGCATGAACGCTTCGATGCCTTGAGTTGACAGCCGGTGATGCAACCCTATCGTGCTGCGCTAGAAATTGTTTCTTGATGTTCAATGTTGTTAGAGTTATCATGAGATTAAAGTGTAGAGGGCCAAATAACGAACCAATATCTGAGGAGCCCTTGCCACAGAGCGGGACAAAAGCTGAAGAAGAAGAAGAAGAAGAAGAAGAAGAATAAGAAGAAGAAGGTGTAGAGGGCAGTGTTTCCATGCTAATCACTCCGTTTTGGGTATGCACCACGCATTCTACTTCCGTTCGGGATTGTAGTGTATTTTGAATAGGACCTGTACAATGAATGATGAGTGTCAGCCGATATGGATCGGTATTTCCATCCTCCCAGATGTCTGGTACTGGTTCGT